GCTTTGGGAATGGTCTCTAGCTTATGGCATGCTTGAACCCTGCACACAGCCATGTCATTGTTCAGCAGCCTACCATGCTCTGCTGACCTCGGGACTTACAATGGACTTGAATTAATGGCCTGCTGTGCAGTTTGGTAACATCGGGACTGTGCCATTTTATTTGTTGACCTTGGCCTTGTTAGCCTCAGCAGCCAGTACCTGCCTGAGTGAAGAGATGCCTCTATTTCAGTGGGCCGGGAGCAAGAAGCAGAGCTGAAGTCCAAGGTCGAGGGGCTTTCACCCATCCCCGAGCCTGGCACTTTGAACTTGGACTTAAAGCCTCCAAACTATGAGGGAACAAACTCTTGTTTGTTAAGGCCATCCTATTTGTGGTATATTCTTGTCAGAGCAGAACATGAGGTCACAACAAGTCAGAGCTGGCTTGAGGACAACTAATAACAATATCAACAACAACATGTAAATCTTATTGCAATGCCTGGAAAAACCAAACCAAAAACAACACAAACCTGTTGCCATCAAGTTGATTCTGGCTCATAGCGACCGTATATGAGAGAGCAGAACTGCACCATAGGGTTTCTAATGCTGTAATTGTTACAAAAGCAGATTGCACATCTTTCTCCCATGGAGTAGCTAGTGGATTCACATGGCAGAGCTTTTGATTAGCATATGAGCACTTAACCACTGTGTCACCAGGGCTCCTTTTCCTTGTAACAACATCAGTGTTCAAAAGATGAAAATTGTTAATATGGTCAATAATGTACCAATGGTCCCACTCTCAGCCATATCACGGTGTGATATGATAAATTAAAGTCTGTTTGTTACTTCGTGAAATAAATCACATAGAGTCCCTGGGACATAGGGGGTGACTAGGAATTCCAGAACACTTGAGTGTGCTCATAAGGAACCTGTGCATAGACCAAGAGGTAATCATTCAAACAGAACAAGCGGATACTGCATGGTTTAAACTCAGGAAAGGTGTGCATCAGGGTTGTATTCTTTCCCCATATTTATTCAATCTGTATGCTGAGCAACTAATCTGAGAAGCTGGACTATATGAAGAAGAACATGGCATCAGGATTGGAGGAAGAGTCATTAACAACCTGCTATATGCAGATGACACATCTTTGCTTGCTGAATGTGAAGAAGATTGAAGCAGTTACTGATGATCAAAGACTATAGCATGGAATATACCTCAACACAAAGAAAACAAAAATCCTCACAACTGACCAACACACAACATCGTGGTAAATGGAGAAAAGATTGAAGTTGTCAGGGATTTCATTTTACTTGGATCCACAGTCAATGCCCATGGAAGCTACAGTCAAGAAATCAGGTGTCATATTACAGTGGACTTATCTGCTTTGAAAGACCTCTCTAAAATATTAAAAAGCAAAGATGTCACTTTGAGAACTAAGGTGAACCTGTCCCAAGCCACTGGCTTTTTTGTAGCCTCATATGCATGTGAAAGCTGGACAATGAATAAGGAAGATCAAAGAAGAGTTGATGCATTTGAATTACAGTGTTGGTGAAGAATACTGAATGTACCATGGACTGCCAGAAGAACAAACAAATCTGTTTTGGAAGAAGTACAGCCAGAAGCCAGAATGGCCAGATTCATCTCATGTACTTTGGTCATGTCATCAGGAGGGACCAGTCCCTAAAGAAGGATATCATGCTTGGTAAAACACAGGGTCAACAAAAAAAAAAAAAGAAAAGGAAAACCGCCAATGAGATTGATTAACATAGTGGCTGCAACATGGGCTCAAACATAGCAACAAGTGTGAGGATAATGCAGGCCCAGGCGGTGTTTCGTTCCATTGGACATGGGTAGCTAGGAATCAAAACCAACTCAACAACACCTAACAACAGCAACAGATAGAATTTTGCAAAAGATGGTAATCAGGCCAGTGGTACTTTGAGCTTAGTAGCTAATGTCCCTGATAATGTCCCATTTTCAGAATTCAAATCCCAAATGCTCCAATACACAAATCAGAGTCTTTTTTTTTTTTTTTTTTCCATTTGTTTGTTTTCTCAGGAATTTATTCCTCTGGCGAAATCTGAGTTAGAAAGATATTGGAGGGTGTAGGGCTGATTAAGAAACAGACTTATCTAGGTCTCTCCTAATTAAGAAACATATCACAAAAAGAGGTCTTATATGAAGACAATGGAAAAAGATAACATGAAATCTAAAAGAAAAGCACAAAAACAAAACAAATAATCCCCCCTAGAAACAGATAAGAATGAATACCAGGTATCCACATGACTAAAATCCACCCTGTTTTAGAGGCAGGAAAACGAGAGGAAAAGCAGGTTTTCCATTAGATGTGATGTCGTTCCAACACATCAGATTACGATATGGGTTTATTTCCTGACAGCATTAAAGGTAGATTTTTTATCAAACACAAAACACACTCTTTTTATCTAAAGATTCAACCAGGGAAGCTTTTTCCTTTTCTCAATTGTTTTGCAAATGGATGATTACAGAAAGATATCAAATCTAACCCTGGAGTCTGGGCTCCTAGTTCTGCTCACAGAGAGATGGGCTGAGGAGGAGGAGATGGCAGGGCAGAGATACACACTTCCACCACTCAGCAACTGCCACTCTGGTGTTGGACTATCATCCTCCCACAGATGGGACCTCACATTTCAGTATCTATTCCTTGATGCTGCCGGGAAGGACACCCATTAATGAACACTGAAGGCCACTGACTAATTTTCTGACCCACTGAGGGGGACATTTCTTTCTGAGCAGCGCCATGCTTGCATGCATCAGGTCAAAGAAGAGACAGTGACAGGCACTGCTGTGTCTTCTCTTTCTGTTCCCACAGACATCCTTTCTCTGCCATGTCATTGGACACGACATCCCCATCCTTGGTGTTCTAGTATTTGTCTCTTTTCTTTCAGAACCACCTGGTTCCTTCCAGCTTGTTTTGTGGTGCAAGAACCGACCCCTGCACAGTTACTGAGACAAGTAGGGCTGGCTGAATCAAGCAGCCTCTGACTCAGTATTCTTGCTGCTGGCAACAGAGAATGACTGGGGGTTAACAAACCAGGCCCTCTGGCAAAATAAGTTACATTTCAAAAGCCCCACAAGCTTGACCATAGTAAAATGCTGATAAACCTCTTGAGTTGTCCTTCAAGTACCTCACCAGGTGTAGTAGAATTCAACTTGACTGACAAAGTGACCATCTACCAGACACAGTCAAGAACAGGGATCCCTTGCTGAGACTCGAAGCAGGGTCCAAGGA